CATCATCATCATCATCATCATCATCATCATCATCATCATCATCATCATCAAGAAGAAATATCCAACTGCAAATACATCTGACTGCAATGTCAGCTCTAAGACGACATGTAAAGATTTTCCTTCTCCATCATCTAGCCATTGGCTGAGGAAAACTGCAACTATTAAAGCAAAAACGGGATCACAAAATGTTGGTAAACTTAGAGCACAACTTTCAGTCATTCATCTTTTATCAGAATTCTTAATAATTCTCAAAGTAGTATCGAAACATTTCTATTGGAAGTGGATCCAAGTCCCCAAATGCCATCACATAGTCCATTTGCATTACCATACCCCATCAGATTGATGAATACTGAAGAGCTAATAATGACTGGAATGATCCAGCTCATCATTCTGTAGTTAAACAGATATATTGTAATGACACCTGATCAGCTATGTAAATGTTTGAAATATCTTATGCGGAAATTGATCAATTGTACTACAGCATTTGTCTAGTGATCATGAATTCAAATTCAACTCAAAGATCACTGATCAAAACATACATTCAAAGACCATCTCTTACACAAACCAAGGTTTGGAATGGTGGAGATTTAATCCAACTCCCACAGCACACTGCTGGTGTATTTGTTAGTTTTAGGTGGAATCCTGTGGATGGCAGCATTGGTTAGTAGAAGGTCCAGTAGAAGTTATGCAGAGAATGTCACGGTTGGGTTCATGGATAAAGATAAACACAGCTGCTGTCTTATTATCATGGGAGAGGCATAGCTTTTAACTTTTTGTCCATAATAATAAATCCAAGATGTGACCTCTGTCTATGTCTGCACTGGATACGTGTAATACTAAAAATTTACAGCTCTTTTGGCATTCAGTTGGCATTTTGTCAAAGATACAGACACAGAGAGGTTTTGACTTTGTATGTATTATGTGGTGCAGAAAAAATTCAAATAAGTTGGGCGATGAAAAGTAAACCAGGCATGACTAAAATCGCTGGATGAAAGATGGTTTGTTGACATGAGTTAAGACGTAAAACAAATTTGTCATTTTCTTTGCTCAGACTCTGACTGTGTCCTTATATGAAGTGCTTACATTTCTATATTTCTATATTCCAATATTTGATCAATTTAATGGCAACAACGGAATCTACATTTAACGGTAAAGTAAAGCCCTCGCTCAACTTATTTGCAACAATCAACCGAATTTTTCTTCCCTGCGCCTGTTTTTCCCCCTCTCTCATTTTCAGCCCTGTGATGCGGGATTATTTTGTGGGCCACGTCGGAATGAACTTTACATAAACAACACCATCACGCAGGGTGTCGTTTAGTGAATTATGTAATTGAGAAATTGGAACAATATTATCTCACCTCACACCAAACACCCCAAGACCGCAACACAGCCGCCCCCCCCCTTCTCCCCGGAAGCGTTCCGCTCTGCGATTGGCCCGCCAGAAGTGGGCGTATGCGTAAACAAGCGTCTCGGCCGTTTTCATTGGTCCCCGCGTCACGTCAATCAAACTGTTGCCTGGCGATGGGCTCGCAGCCTGTCAACCGCACGATCCAGTTACCGGAGCTGCCTGCTGCAATGAAAACACCGTCGTTGGTGGGTGGATATCCACGGGCCCTGTTCCATCCTCATTTTCCAGCCCCAAACACAGACTGAGTGAGTAGTTCATTTCATCCTTTACTTATACAGGACTTGTGAACTCTCAGTTAACGATGGCTATCTCTAAAAACAAGAAGAAGAAGATGCAAAAAAACAACAAAAAAAACCCGACCAGCTTGAGGTTTGTTTGCAGCTCGTTTGCGGTATTGTAGATTTTGTGAGTCAGTGGAAACGCAACTAAACCAGCGGTCCGGATGGGAAAAAAGGATGGTTGGTCAGTTTGCTGTAAGTTGGCTTCGGTGTTGCGTGGTGTCGTGCGTAAGACTTGTTGGATTTGGGGCTGTGCGTTGGGAATGAGTTAGCTGCGTTCATCCTGTGGGCAGCGCATACCCGCGCTCCCACACACGCTCCGCTCCTGTGTGTGTGTGTGTGTGTGTGCTGAGTTGCTGTCGGGGATGTGAGAAGCGCGTTACCAGACGCAACACGGGCCAGATGTTTACGTCCTTGGATTTATTTTTTTATCTATTTTTCTGCTCACTGCACAACATCTTCCCCAAACCGTGAGTCCAAACCTCAGTTCGTTGTTCTAGTTTTGTGAAGCTCCCCCAAAATAATCTGTTGACACACACACAAACACACACCCAGACGCCCACAAACGTGCGTGTTCAGTGTTTTTTTTTTTTAGCCAGATTTCTGGTTTCTTTTATTCTGACCGGTTCTATTATTGTTGTTTTTTTTGCACAGTTCTTGCCACCTTGTGTAATTTCAATGACCTCAGACCCATTTCCACCCCAGATATAACTGTGGGCTGGTCACGTGAGCAGGTTTTCACAGTGAATTCCACACGTTCGGTCCATTACCACGCATGAGTCATTCTGTTGATACAGTCAAAATATAGGATCCACAGAAACCCGCTGCATTTCAGCTCACACAAGACCTCCAGACGTGGGCCTTGTGAGTAAAGGGCTTCAGATCTGCCCTAGAAAACAGAAGAGAAAACACACACACACACACACACACACACACACACACACACAAAAAGGCTGCACGCCAACCCCACGTAGGCTGTGAAGGGAAGAGATGAACCACAGTTGCTATCAGTTTACCTGCTGCTGAGTAAGAGAGGACCACACTGCAGCGTGTGGAGCTCATGGAGGCCAGAGTTTATTTTGGTGCCGAGGTTCTGCATGGAGATGAGTGCCCACAGCGCCGTAGGAGCCGGGGAGAGTGGGTCGGCCACGCAAGTCCTCGAGTCCTTCCAGAAAGGAGAAGATGAAATGGAGAAAAGTGGTGTCTGGAGTTTGATCTGATTTAATAAGCTTGAAGAGGAAGTGGATACCGGAGGACACGCTTTGAACTCCTTTAGAAAAGTGTTCGGTGGCGTTTCACATGAAGGAATCTGGAGAAGGGGGATCAGTGATGGGTATTTACTTCTATTATTTTCCGGTTACATCTCTATAACATGATATAAGACTTTTTTTTTATTTGATGTGGAATGCATTTCAATCATAATCAAGTGGCAAGCCACTGATATGCCGCTTTAAGATTAATTTATGCAGGGTGCTCCAGTCTGCTTGGAAAACGTTGTATAATGTGTTGTGTAGCTCTGGAGTGGCTATGTAAAGAAAACGAAAGCCCACTAATATTATCCTGAGTTATGGTGAAGACTTCAGGTATCTGGCAGAAAGCCTGCAGTGTAATATCACAGCAAAGAGACTCCAAAATGAGGGCATTTAGACAAAAGACGTCTTAAGGAAGCTGCATGGTATTAAATTGCTTTCCGGGCACTGCCGGTGTATTTTCATTTAGTTTTTTTGGTTTGTGATGTCAGCCTCTGTTAGCCAGATAGCAAGACTTTCCCTTTAACTCTAGATAAACCGGTTGGAGCATCATTAACATCAATCCCTTAACTTTTTCTTCTTTTTTTATATACTTAAAAATATATTGTTCTGTTGGTTTTTTGGGTGCAGCCCTTCCATGCAGGTGAAGCGGAGCCAGTGAAGGAGGCATGGTGCGGATAGTATGGGTTCCAGCAGATGGGCGCGCCTCAGGAGCCGACAGCTGGCCGCCCCCCTCCATCCTCCTGTAGCCCGGGCCCCCCTGCATGAGCTCCATGTGCCTCACACTACACACCTTTTGACTTCATGAAGATCCCCAACATTGGTGATGTAATGAATAAATTTGAAGTCCTTGGGATTGTGGGTGAAGGTAAGGCTGCTTTTTTCATTCATTTTGAATCGTTTCTGTCCCATCACATACCTGAAATGTGACCTAGGTTAAAATTTTATTGAATTATTTGGGCAAAATTAAACGGGGTGGTCATTAGGGAGTCCAGAGCAGCTCGAGGTCAACATATCAGAGAGTGAGAGACTTGATCGTTTTGGGGAAATGGGGCATTACGGGCTCCCCCAGCATCATTTATTCATTCGGTATCGCTGCTGCTGTGTTTGTTATGTGGAGCATGCCATTGCCTTTCTGAAAAAAACAAAACCTTCAGTCCAAAAAATCTCCTCTGGATGGTAGTATATGTATATGGCCCCCCTCATACCGTTATGACTATTAAACAATATGCTGATCAAGAACCGTAGGGTCCTTCACCACCTTGGAAGAATGCAAGTTTAACTTTCTTTAACCCCAGGGGAGGCTGGTTTGGTAGGCTGTCTATTTTTTTCTTTACCATGTGCATTTTCTTTTTGCATTTGTGGGAAATATGAAGAGCTGTGTTTGCGGAGTCTACGCAGGGTTAATCATACATAATTGTCTTTACTTAATCCAGTGCTGGAATACAGAGATTTCTCCAGAGTCTCTGTATTTTTAATCTAATAGGTGATCAAATCTAGAGTTAAATGCTGTGCAACACAGCCATGTGCATGATTTAATCTTTTTTAAATCAACTGATGTGTCTTCTGTTGCCTGAACAAACTTTTCAATCGCTGAGCTCTCATTAAATTAGAAAGTGCCTGTACACATTTAATTAGTTTCCAAATTTCATAGTCTCTTTGTGCTATTTTCATTT